ATGCGTCTTTTATTTTCGGGCCTGGCTATTGTCGACCCCTTTTAGGCGGCGGCGCCGCCCCCTCCAAATATTCGCTCTTCGGGTCGGAGTGTAGGGCGTAGCGGAGTGTGGGCCCCGAGTTTGAAAAGGGCGACGGACACGCTTGCGTCCTAGCCTACAACAACGCCTCCCCGGCGCAGAGGGTGAGAGGGGTGAGAGGGGTGAGAGGGGTGAGAGGGGTGAGAGGGGTGAGAGGGGAGGTGGGGGGGGGGGGGGGGAGGTTGCGGGTGCGGGTGCGGGTGCGGGTCGCGGGTGTGGCGGGCGGCGGGCCGCCTCGATGAAGTGGAAGGTGTACTCGTTGAAGTCGGCCAGCGGCTGGATGTTGTACGCCACGATCGAGCGCGAGTTGTTGAACATGCGGAGCTGGCCGACGACCCGGACGACCTTGCCCTCGCGCCACTCCGCGCGCCGCTGGACCATGAGCTCCTCCGACTCCTGGTCCACCCTGCGGGCCCGCGGGGAGGCGGGTGCGAGGCGGAGGGGTGGAGGGAACGGGGGGCAGCCTCGCCCTCGGCGCTCTGCGGCCGCCTCCCCTCAGAGGGAGAGGGGAGGGGCGGCGGGAGGGGGATGGCGGCTGCGAGGCGCACCACATCTTGACGATGATGTCGTCGGTGCCGTCGTCGATGGTGTACTGCAGGTTCGTGTTCTGCTCCTCGGCGGTCATGATGAGACCCACGATGGTGACCTGGTGCAGCTCGTGTCCGTCAACGGTGAAGTTCTGCTCGCCCGACGCGGCCGAGGGAGCATTCTTCAGCTGCTTGATGGTGACAGGCAGCAGCGACTGCTTCTCCTTGGCGTTCTTCGCCTGCGCGGCGCAGGCGAGCGGCATCCGAGGGGGCGGGGTGAGCTTGTGGGCGAACCAGCGGCCGCGGCTGCTGTGGGTGTGCGCAAAGCCACCTTGCCGTCGGGACCGCTGTTGTCCACGTTGAAGCCGCCCGCCGCGCCCTGGCTGCCCTGCTGGTAGGCCTGGCCACCAAACTGGTCCCCACCCTGCCGCACGCACGCGCGCCGCGCCGCGGTCAGCCGGGTGCGCGTGTGCGTGTGCCGTCGAGAGGAGCGGGCGCGCGCACCCCCGCCACGAAGCCGCCGCCGCCGCCAAACTGGTCGCCGCCGAACTGGTCGCCGCCAAACTGGCCGCCGCCGCCAAACCCGCCCGCGTCGTAGCCCCCGAAAGCGCCTCCGCCGTACATGATGCTGGATACGATATCGCGGTTGGCTGCTGCCTTTGTCCTCTCCCGCCCACTTGGTTCCAACTTTTTGCGGGGTATGGTATGGTAGCCTCCCGAAGGGTGGGGGGGGGGGGGTATGGTCCTGACCGCCCAAGACTAGCCCTCGACAGGGATGGGGGGGTATGGTCCCTCGGCCCCTCCCTCTACTGCGCCGCCGAGCCCGCAGCGCCATGAGGTAGGAGCACGCGCCCGTGTGCCGTGTCGCGGAGCTGCTGCAGCTGCTCCACGCTCCACTCGCCGACACCCTTCTGGTTGCGGAGCGCCTCAATGTAAGTCCCCCGAGATTGCGCCGCTGGCGCCGTTGGAATGCGGATAGTAACTACTCTCTGTGGGGCCCCCTTTGGCACTTTACTCCTGTCCCGCGTGACCCTCTGTCTCACATGAGTTTCGTCCCTCGATTGTGTCACGCGTCTCCTCCTAGTTCGGCTCTGCCGAACTGCGGTCGTATCGTAGCTGCTCTCTTTCTGCTCTTGTTTGTACTTGGCCTATACTCTCGGCCTCCTCCGCGCGCCGCCGGGCGCGAGTGGGAGCCCTCGTGCTCCCGCAATCAAACGTGGTGACCCATGATGGATCGGTACCCGGCACGTGCAGTGCCGTCAACCATGGCCGACGACATCCGACAACAACCGACATACGACAACCTCGGCCTGACTCGAGAACCTCCTTATCAGCTGGTCGGCCGCCATGTGGGCCTCCGGGCCTGCTGCGGCGGCGCGGCCGGTTGAGGCCGGGCTCGGCCCGGCCCGCGACGGCTGGCCGCCGACGAGCGCGCTCGCGCTGCTCGTCAAGATGGCGGCGGTGGCGATTGTGGCGACGGTCGTTCAGTCGTACAGCGCTCAGGCGTCTGTCATCTGTCGTCTGTTGTCGCATTTCGCACACGCGCGCGCCGCGCGACCCGCGTCGCTCCGCGAGGGCATGAGCCTTCCGCGATTCGATCCCGCAGCCAAAAGCTGCTCGTTCGAACCGCGGCCGACTCCGCCATCGTGGCCGCAGCTGTTGAGCTCTCCAGAAGACTGGTGCCTCATATACTGCCTCCCTGCGGATGCTGCCGGCGAGCCTGGCGGTCCGCTGTACTACAAGGATGTGCTGACTCGATTCTACCTCGAATTCTTCTACCCCCACGACTCGGAACGCGAATGTGACAGGACCATCGGGTCCTTCGGCCACCAAAGCGAGATCACCCGAGAGCAGCTGAGTCTGCCTCTGGCCTCGCCTCCCTCTCCTCCAGGCATTCGTGGCATCCTATGGGTCAATGGGTCGTCCAGAGTATCGACCTCTGGCTTGTCAGTCGCGGTCACTTGATGACCCCCATGAAGTACAGCGATCGCCACCTCGCTGGCCTCTCCACAAGGCCCCCCGACCGCGTCGAACTCATCGGCGCGGGCTCTCTCGGCTACGGGACCGGCCCCAGCTTCGGCTGAGGGCTAACAAGCTGCCGAGCCCAAATCTCTGTGAGAGTCGTGATTTCTTGTTGGTCTTCAAAAATCTCTCTCTCTCGAGACCCCGGCGTGCACAGCCGGTGCCACTCTCGCGTTCCACACGGCCGGCCCTCATCCAGCTCGTCCAGCTCGCCCTCTCCATCGCCACCTCTTCCGTCTTTATCGTCACCGTCGACTTTACCGCCACAGCCCTCTCTTGGAGCACTTGGAGTGCAGTCAGCAGCCTCACATCCAGGGCCGGGGAGCTCAGAAGCGCACCCAGCGGGCCGGATGATCGGGATCGGGCTACGGGCTAGAGAGCCCTGACCCCTAGGGGGGGTGCGCGTTCGCAGGGAAAGGGCCGTAAAGTAAACACGGGGCTCCGAGGGTTGGCCCCGCGTACCGGGTTTCCCCTTAACTGCAGGACGCCCCCTCTACTCGGAGCTAATGAACATCACACTGCACGCCTCACACGTCAGGTACTTGGAGCACTCCTTCGTTTATTTTTCTTCTTGTGCCGCCGCTCAGCGAGCGAGTTCTTTACCAAGTTGCAACCCTTGTTCCGCACTCGGCTGTGAACGCTGCTGTTTGCCGCCGGTTGAGCAGCACCCCGTCCCCATCCAGGTTGTTGGTTGCTGCCCCAGGTCCCGCACTATGTAGGTGCACTGCTTCAGCAGCGTGCACCTACCTCGATCGACGATCCTGGTCGCTGGTGTCGGTTGGGGTTGCGCAACCTTTTTGCCGACCTCCGAGCCCAGATAGCGCGCCGTGTCTGATCCTCGTCGGCATCTGCTTCCGGGCCTGGCGGCCCGCCACAAGGACTTAGGTGAGAAGTGCCCGCCGAAACATCGGAACGACGCTGCTCCGCTCGACTTGGTTGGTTGCTGGCAGCACCCCAGCACCGGGGGGTCCTGAGAGCTGTTGGTTGGTGCTCTGTTCACAGCACAGTGCGGAACAAGGGTTGCAACCTGGTATAAAAGAACTCGCTCGCAGGGGTGCGCGTTCGATTGCGTTCGGTGAGGTGTGAGCGACCGAGTGGCACCTCCACGATGGCGACAGAGAGCGAGGAGGACACGTCCACCATCTTCCTCCTCACCTTCTGCACCACCGTCCTGCTCCCGTGGACGCTCATCAAGCTGACTCGAGCGAGCTCCGACGAGGCGGCCGCGTGGCGCAAGCTCGGCTTCGGCGCGGACTCGGAGGTTGTGAGCTGCGCCGTCCGGCGGCGGCCGAGCCGCTTAAAACGGCACTCGACGGCGCTCAACGCGCTCTACCTCGTCCTCGTCCTCGCCGAGGGGTATCTCCTCCTCG